TTGTTCGCTGCTGGGATGGGCGGGGAAGAGAAGAAGAGAGCAGTGGGTGAAGGGACGGGAGAGCTCGCAAGGCTGCGATTGCACAGCGGAAAGCAGCAATGGAGAAAAGTAGCGCCGCCAGGGCGTCGCTTCTAGTAGTTGTTGTGGCGTGCGTGGTGTTCTGGAATGTTTACTGTTTCATACTCTTCCCGTACGTTCCCACCTATGAAATTCTACTCCCTGGCGCACTACAGCGAAACTATCAACTACCGTCTTAGAACGCAAACCGCGTTCTACTGGCGTCGACCGATATTAGCAAGAATCACTCTGCCTACCTACAAATAACCAGTTTGAGAGCACTCGCTTTTGCTTGCGTACTTCTTACGTTGTGAGCAGACCGACTATAGCTCTTTCTGGAATCAAAATGTGCTTCAACTGTATTGTGGTACTGAGAACTGTGGGAAACGCGGGATAAAGGGCGTGCATATTATTCCTCACATCGAGTCAGTCCAATTCTATCGTGAAACGCTGGAGAGCTCCAAACGCTGAGAGTAGAACCATCTCGAGCTATGCAAGGTATTAGTGGAAAAATCAGGGAGTGCCAGGCCTGGTTTAGAAAAGCAGGGCAATAGCCTGATAGAGAATCAGGAAAGCATGTCCTATGCGGGCGTAGTTGGGAAAAGAGAGTGCTTGGTTGCAGGTGGGAGACTGACGAGGGCAATTCGAGATGCGGGTGCAATGATCGTTACACCATAGGGGCGAGAAAGAGCCGTCGCGCCATGCGTTACAAGACCAGCTTTGGTCGACGCATGCTTGTTGGCATGCCTTCGTGCGCCAAACCAGGTGTGTGGTGAACGGGAGCTAAGCTGAGAGTTATGCTCATGTCACTCGGAGACAGTCGTTGTTGCAATGTCATCTCCAAAAGGTGGGTAAAGCGGGTGCTCTTTGCGAGGAGGGTTGCAGTTATGGGCGGAAATGTGGAACCCCTACTTGCACGAATGTCGAATGCCGTTCGCACCGCCAAGCGCACGAGCCGCGCGAGGCCAAGACGCTGCGCGTATCTGGACTTCATTTCAAGTGGGACTTTTCTGTAAGAAGTGGCAAACCACCCAGACTTTTCTTTTCTATGAAGTACCCAAACTATCTTGGCTGTAGCTGCACCACCAACAGTCTGGTCTTCATGAAGGAAAGCCACACCGGTTCTACTGCTGTCTCATTTTCGACCAGCCAGGGTATTTCAAACTCATGACCTGTCCCCCCCTGCGTGCCCTCCAACAGCATTTCCTCAGCCATTGACTCCGCGAATGGTCGATGGGGCTGAAGAAAAACAAACTTTTAGACAGCACGTCCAAGCCTCGGCCTTACAACACGATTGTCTGGTTTGCACATTTGGCTTGAGGTGGATGACACGTCCTCACTACAAAGATATGGTTCGCTTCCGTACAAATTCCTTATGATAACTAGACACTCTAATATGAATTCCGTCCGTCATTATCCGTTACAAGTGGAATGGAGAGAGCAAACAAGGATTGTTGTAAGGATTTTTTGGATTGCGTAGCAACCTTATACAGTTGTTTTCACTTTTCGGTTGACTGGTGTGAACAGTGATTTTCCTCCAAAAAACGGGAAAAAATCATTGTTCACATAAGTTACCATAAAAATGGAAACAAATGTGTCCAATCATTCCATTATCGTCGCACAAAAAGACCTACGGTAACGGTACGAAAACGCACGCATAGGCAAACTTGTAAAAAAAACAAGATTCGACGTTAACGTCGGGAGGGTTGCGCAGACGTTACATTCATATATTACAAAACATGAGGTGTCAAATGTAATTCTATGCTTGTAGGCTACAGTGAGTAGCACAATAGGGAGTACAGTTGTTAGGGTTGCATATTTGTACTTCCACACTTCCTAGTTTGATCATTCCGTTGCATTCCTATTCTAAGATGGTATCACGAGAAGGTTAGATCCTCGTTCGGTCTTAGCTAGCCTCCGCGCCCTACGCGCCCTCCGTGCTCTCGCACCCTCCGCGCGCCTAGCCCGCGCCCTCCCGCGCTGTCAAGCCCGTCGTGCGCCCTCCTTAGACCACCGCGCGCCCTCTCCCACCGTTACGCGACCTCCTAAACCGTCGCGCGCCCTCCTTCGACCGTCGCGCGCCCTCTTTAGACCGTCGCGCGCCCTCCTTAGACCGTCGCGCGCCCTCCTTAGACCGTCGCGCGCCCTCCTTAGACCGTCGCGTGCCCTTCCCTCCACCTGTCGCGCGCCCTCCTCCGTAAATCTTCCTGCACACCTGCGTGCACTTACCACACACCTGCGTGCGCTCACCGCACACCTGCGTCCGTGCACTTCCAGCACACCTGCGTGCACTTACCGCACACCTGCGTGCGCTCACCGCACACCTGCGTGCGTGCACTTACCGCACACCTGCGTGCCCTTACCGCCCACCTGCGTGCACTTACCGCATCCCTTTGTGCGCTTACTGCATCTCTCTCCCCTTCACCTGTGCCCTGGTCCCACGCCATTCCTACTGCACTTGACTCCCGGCTCAGCGGCTGGCAGCCGCTCTTCCCTCCGGTAGCGCCACCTAGGTTCGGTTAGAGCCCCGCCCCACGACTATTTTCTCGCCGACTGTCTCTCGTCGGTTTCCCCGCTGGCGTCCCTAGCCCTCCGTAGTTTTCCTCCTCGTTCTTAGCTCCGCCTCCGCCGTGCTCCAGTCACCACTAGCATGGGCTCCGCTATGGAGGCCCGTCGCCTCCGTTTCGATGCTGAGGGACGCCCGATCGAGTTCGGTACCTGGCAGCGCCAGACCACACGTTTTCTCACCAGCCAGCGACAGGACGGCGCCACTCTGTGGGCTCACGCGTCTGGTGCCCTACAGGCCCCCCCGTCCCCCGCCGCCCCGCCGACCACCCCGGAGCCGACTCCTACGGCCCAGGCGGAGTACGACCGTCGGGTCCTGGCCAGGGACGTGTGGCTCTCGCGTGACGCTGCCGCCGCTCTCACACTGTCGGAGCTTCTCCCCCCGACTGAGGCCGCCCACTTTGACCAGGTGGAGACAGCCCAGGGGGTGTGGGATGCTATTGTTGCCCGCTACTCCACCCCCTCCTCTGCCTCCCTCAGTCGCCTCCTCATGCCGTTTGTGTTTCCCGACCTAGGCTCGTTTGCGACTGTTTCCGACCTAGTGACTCATCTCCGCTCGCTTGACGCCGGTTTCCGTGCTGCCTGTACCGACGCACAGCTCCTTGTTGCTCCCCCCCCCCATGTGGCTCACTGTGCACTGGTTAGTCACCCGCCTCCCTGACCGCCTTGCCACTGCCCGCGACGCGCTTCTTCAAAAGCACCCCACTGAGCTCACTATAGACCTCCTTCAGACTGCTCTCGGGACCATCGAGAGCAGCCTCCTCGCCGTTGCCTCCGCCACTGATGCGGTGGCCCCCCGTCTCTTTGCGGGGTGTGCCGCCCCTCAGCTTCCCACTTTCACCTCTACCCGCGCTTCTGCTGCTGTGTCGGTCTCTGAGGACACCGCTGCCGTTTCTGCCGCAGACTGGCAGAAACGGGGCAAGAGTGGCAAGAAGGGCGGGAAGGGGGGAGGTGGGGGCGGTGGAGGTGGCGGTGGAGGTGGCGGTGGAGGTGGGAGCGGCGGTGGTGGCGGAGGCGGCGGCGGCGGCGGCGGTGGTGCGCCAGGGGGAGGGGGCCTTGGAGGAGGTGTAGGATAGACAGGCCCACCCACATGTGGTGGCCCGACCGGTGGGGGCGTTGCCCCCCAGCAGCAGCAGCCACAGCAGCACCAGTCACAGCAGGGACAGCAGCAGCAGCAGCAGGGACAGCAGCAGCAGCAGCAGGGACAGCAGCAGCAGTAGGCACCACAGCAGTTCCAGCAGTGGGGGCCCCCGCTGCAGTGGGGTCCGCAGCAGCACTGGGGTCCCCCGCCGTAGTGGGGTCCGGGAGGCCCTGGGAGCACCGGCCGCAGCAGCAGCTCTTCCAGCTGGGCCCCTTGCCCCCCTCGCCGTGACGCTGGCCCCTGCACCCACTGGTGCCTCACCGGGCCGGGCAGCCCCTGTCTCTGTGGTCGCGACGACCACTCTGCCGCGCGGTGCTTCCGCCGCCTCGACGACCTCTACCGGGCTCGTTGGGGCCCTCTGGCGGTCACGCCTCGCTGGTCTCGTCTGTTAGCCCGTAAGATTGATGTCTTTGATCTGTCCATGGACGATGCGCGTCAGCATGCTTCGTATGTTGATGCTGACTTTAGTGCTGATGGGTCTGTGTGCTCGCGTGTTCGTAGGTTAGCCTGCTTGCCTCCTGCTAGTGTAGCCTTGTGCCTGTCTAGCTTAGGTGCTTGTGTTGCTGCTCTAGGTGCTTGTGTAGCGACTGGGTCAGGTGACCCTCCGGCTGAGGCCTCTCTGTCGTTCACGCTGGACTCGGGCGCGTCTCAGTGCTTCTTCCGCGACCACACGACCCTTACGCCACTCCTCACCCCTGTGTCGGTGGCTCTGGCTGATCCTACCTCTGGACCAGCCGTTGCGCGTAGCTCCACCACCCTCCCGTGCCCTGTGGTCCCCTCTGGTGTCCTGCGCGGCCTCCACATCCCCTCGTTCACTCGGAACTTGGTGGGTGTTGGATACCTCCAGGACAGGGGGATCACGGTTACCTTCGTGGGGGGTGGGCGGACTGCAGTCTGTACTGACGCTACCACAGGTGCTGTTCTGGCCACTTTCACCAGGGAGCCCCGCTCCGGTCTCTACGTTCTCCACACCGAGCGCTCCCCGGTCGCGTCCTCCCCTCAGGTCGTTGCGTCCCCTCCGGCCCAGGTCCCCAGTC